GGTAAGCCCGCCGGAAGAGCTCCGTCTTAATTGCCTTCTTAAAGGCTTCTAATGTAGTAATATGATGGATCTCTTCCAGCAGGCTATTCCATAACTTAGGGGCTGCAGCCCTGAATGATCTCTGGGAAGTTGCACTTAACCTGTTTTATAGCAGTCTAGTAAGTTCTTCCCAGATATTCTGAGAGTGTGGAGTGGATTATGTGGGGAGAGGCGTTCCTTCAAGTAGTTTGGACCCGAGCCATTTAGGGCTTTAAAGGTAATGACCAACACTTTGTACTGCACCCAGAAGCTGATTGGAAGCCAGTGAAGGGCTTTCAACACTGGTGTAATATGGTCAGATCTCGATGTTCCAGTGACCAATCTGGCTGCTGCATTTTGAACCAATTGAAGCTTCTGAACTTGGTACAAAGGTAACCCCATGTAGAGCGCATTACAGAAGTCCAAACAAGAGATTACCAGGGCAAGTACTACTACTTCAAGGTCCTTTTGGTCCAAGTAGGGACACAGTTGGCGAATCAACCGAAGTTGGTTCCAAGCACTCCTGGCCATCACATCCACGTGAGATGATAATTGTAGAGATGAGTCCAGGAGTACTCCCAAACTGTGTACTTTGTCCTTTAGGGGAAGTGTGACCCCATCCAGGACTGGTTGAACAATCTTCCTACCTGGACCAGGGATTCCTATCGCAAACACCTCTGTTTTCTCCAGATTCAACTTGAGTTTGTCTAATAATAATAATAATAATAATAATAATAATAATAATATCCCACCCCTCTGCAGGTGCAATTGGGACAGCTTACAATAATAAAACATCACAAATATATAATCCCCAAAACACTCAATTGTACTATTAACAAAATTATAAATTATAATGGCAATAGAATATGGTCCAAAACACACTGCAGAAATAATCCAGTGTGAGACCCCTTTAACTGGCCTGGTTCAATGCTAAGGAATCCTGGGAACTGTAATTTTATGAGACATTTAGCCTTCCCTGTCAGAGAATTCTGGTGCCACAACAAACTATAGCTTCCATGTTCCCCAGCACTGACCCAGGGCAGTTAAATCGGTCTCAAATTAGATTATTTCTGCAGTGTATTTTGGACCTTACTTTTAAAAAAACAGTCCACATTTAAATGGTGCCTTAAAAATTATTCCCACCTCCCAGCTATGGGATGGTTGGGAGAAATGAGAAAGTGTTGCAGGTAAGGACTGCCAATATATTGGGTGATGCATTCCAGGGCATGTACAATTTGTGGCCAAGTAAGTGA